AGTTGTTAACAGCTTGTAACAAGCTTGTTGATATTATCAGACTTGTAGCAAGATTGTTCCAACAAGTCCGATACAGTCATGATATAACAATATTGTATTCAAGTTGTTAACAACTTGTAACAAGCTTGTTGATATTATCAGAGTTGTAGCAAGGTTGCTCCAACAAGTCAGATGCAGTCATGATATAAGAATATTGTATACAAGTTGTTTAACAGCTTGTAACAAGCTTGTTGATATTATCAGACTTGTAGCAAGGTTGTTTCAACAAGTCCGATACAGTCATGATATAAGAATATTGTATTCAAGTTGTTAACAGCTTGTAACAAGCTTGTTGATATTATCAGACTTGTAGCAAAATTGTTCCAAGAAGTCCGATACAGTCATGATACAAGAATATTGTATTCAAGTTGTTAACAGCTTGTAACAAGCTTGTTGATATTATCAGACTTGTAGCAAGTTTGTTCCAACACGTCTGATACAGTCATGATATAACAATATTGTACAAGTTGATTAAACAGCTTGTAACAAGCTTGTTGATATTATCAGACTTGTAGCAAGGTTGTTCCAACAAGTCCGATACAGTCATGATATAACAATATTGTATTCAAATTGTTAACAGCTTGTAACAAGCTTGTTGATATTATCAGACTTGTAGCAAGGTATGTTTCAACAAGTCCGATACAGTCATGATATAACAATATTGTACAAGTTGCTTAAACGGCTTGTAACAAGCTTGTTGATATTATCAGACTTGTAGCAAGGTTGTTCTAACAAGTCTGATACAGTCATGATATAACAATATTGTATTCAAGTTGTTAACAACTTGGAAGAAGCTTGTTGATATTATCAGACTTGTAGCAAGGTTGTTCTAACAAGTCTGATACAGTCATGATATAACAATATTGTATTCAAGTTGTTAACAGCTTGTAACAAGCTTGTTGATATTATCAGACTTGTAGCAAGGTTGTTCCAACAAGTCCGATACAGTCATGATATAACAATATTGTATTCAAGTTGTTAACAGCTCGTAACAAGCTTGTTGATATTATCAGACTTGTAGCAAGGTTGTTCCAACAAGTCCGTTACAGTCATGATATAACAATATTGTACAAGTTGATTAAACAGCTTGTAACAAGCTTGTTCATATTATCAGACTTGTAGCAAGGTTGTTCCAACAAGTCCGATACAGTCATGATATAACAATATTGTACAAGTTGTTAACAGCTCGTAACAA